ACGCCCTGGACCCACTTCCTTGTAAATGTATTAGATATTGTGTTTCTTTTTGCTTTATATTATCAATGTTTTCTGAGTAATTTACTGAGGTAATGAACGCTTTGTTATATAATGACTGTGAGGCAGTTTAAAACAGGGTTTATGTGTTTCGTCAGCACTATTAACAGTAAAAATACATGGCAAAAATTTGTTTGGATAAAATTTTATAGACTTTATTGAATAAACACAAGTACATAAACAAAAATTATCACTTGTTTTTTTAATATTTTGCTATATTTGATATTAATAGAACATGCATATATGTAATATATCTTTTTATTACAATAAATGATCGATTTTTTTTAAGTAGCTAATGTTAAGACATAACTATTACGAAATATACCGCCATCGTCTTATTATGAGATAATTGTTATCAAAGCTTTTAAAATTTAAGTGATAATAAGTAAATACATTAAATATATGAAGGATTCAATAAGAATATAAATTTCGTATATTCCATATATAAGTATATAATATGATTTTTTCATTGGATGCGGGCGGGTTAAATTTTATTCATGTTGGGATCCGTAAAGGGGACAAGTAAACACTTGGAACAATGCGGTGTCTACATGGTTTAAGAGCAAACACTACATTGCACAAAGACCTCGAGTTTTTACACACGGAATTTTGAAACTAAATCTTTTTTATATCTCAGTTTTGGTAAACGTCGTCCTAAATGTACTCGTATTATGGAAGAGACCTTAACAATTTACTAAAAAAATATTTAGCTATTTTCATATCATAAGATTTGTATCAACATTAGCTTTTTCCTTATAAGAATTATTTTAATGTAATCGTGGATTTATTAAAATTATCTAAAGTTGTATTTTGTTAAACCTTTAAACACCTATTTATTAAATGTAATAAAGTAATAAAAAAATATTCTTATAAATGAAATTCTTTATTTTTATTAAATCTGTAAAAGAAACTGAATTTTTCCGTATTTTTTTACTCCGAAGAATAAAAAACATTCATAAATCATTCGTCCGTTTTCCTTTAATAATATTACAAGGTTCAGGTCGGACGAAAACTCTAACAAAATATTGTTACAAAAATCAAATGAACACTTTTTCCGGCTTTTATATAATATTAATAAAAAATATCCACGTAAGGTTACATGATCGAATTCTCGATTAATACTGGGGATGTTGTTATTTTTGAGGCACGCGCCGATGAGGCGTTTTATCAGCTTTCCGCTTGGTCGCGCGGGATAAGCGCAATAGCTGCACAGGTGCTCAGGGCTGACACTCAAAATATAATATCCACAAAACTCTATATGAAGAAAATACAACTAATACTATATTCTATACGATCTGATACAACATTTTACCAATGTTTACTTTGATCAAATATTGGTTGGGGGCAGCCCTGTGATGCTAAAAGTATTTCGTTTTATCGATACATCTTTAAAGGCCGCCTGTTAAGGAAATTCGGGCGCTACTTTACCGATTCTGTTTGTATCATGGCCTGCACCTGAGCACACTTTAACTTGATATTTGTAAAACCTATGAGAGCTATCGCTACTTATACGAAATGCTTATACGTATCTCTCAATTTATTACGCATGGACTGTATAAAAATATATCTTGGGAATGTTATATACAAACTTTAGCCTGTTTAAAATAATAACACGAGATTGATTGAGGTCGATTCTTTTTTAATTTTCCAATCAGTCCGTCTTTCGGTGTTGCAGCTTGAATTAATTCGTACGGAACCAATTCACCGATATTGGTTTCATGAACTATTGATAACCTTGTCACGTACTTTCGCGTATTGATCAGCTGCCATTGATGCTCTCATATATGAAATAATACTGTCCAATGAGATACATTACTAAAAAAATATATTTTTATTCGATACATGTTTTTCCAGACCGTATTGGTGTTTGGTTATAAACAGAGATACATTTTCGTGGTCGAGAATATTTTTTTTAGTGATGTGCACATGAAAAGGTTACTTAAAGAGTATCGATAAAAATAACGTTATTGAAAAACTATCAATGGGATATCAGGTTGTTTATGAAATACATAAATATTATACATGCTGTTCACAAAGCATTCTCGTCACGTAACGACTTGACCGACAATATTACTTATCTACAACTTTACTGTAACTTCCCTTAAAGATAAATGCAGGTCTTCCGCTCCGACGCGACGTGGAAGAATGTTTTGGTCTTTATGCTCTTTCTTACGATACCTTTTATTCGAGATGTTATGTATTTTGTGAACACCCTTTATGCGATGATACACTAACAATCTACTTATTAAGGATTTATATTTTTAATCCGGGGTTTTAGTGGCGATGATAAAAGCTTATCTATTAGTATACAAGCGGCTGGTTCTTTGTTTTTTTTTTATTTTGTTTCATGAAAGAAAATTAATATATACAAGCCTTATAGTTTTAATATTTTAATGAGTTTTAATTCTTAAATTCGTAAATACTTTATAGTTTACGACTGTACTAGATAGTATAAGCGAAACTATATAGTTATATAAAATTAAAAAGAAAAAGAGTTCAACAAATCTATATTACATGTTCAATACCATGAATAAAAAATCTTAATTATTTAAAATTAATCTAGCATAGGAGTGTACGAACTAAAGTGTTTTAATATAATACAGCCAAACGACTATTGAGGCAATAATAATAATCGGTACTCTCGATTTGGTATAACGCGAATTTTGAATAATTTTAATTGAACATGTAAATTCGAACCTGGTCGACTGTACTGAAATTGAATATTTGTTCAACAAAATATACCTAGGTCTATATATGTAGGTAAAAGTAAAACGCCTAATTAAATATAGTATAAACAATAATTTTGAATTTATTCAATGACGTTCCAAATACCACCTATCACACATTTTAAGGATTTCAAGCATCAGTATGCGAGTATGCTAGCCGTTTTAATAAGTCCATTTCAAGTTGAAAGTGAGGCTTCATAAAATTTCGAGGAAAATCGGAAATAAAAGCTCTTTGTATCACCGCACTCCATGCAGCATAAAAGATGAGACATTTATGTACATGTAACGTAACTTGTTCCTATTCCTGGAAAAAATGAAGAAATAATGATTCATAGTTCGTAATGCATTTGTAGACTATTAGTGTTATATTCTTTGATATACTATAAACATATAATAATATTTTTAGTCTCGATTTTTTATAAATAAAATATTAAAGGTATTTTAAGGATCAATACAGACAAAAGGAATTAAACGTATAAATTTAAATAAAACCATTATTCTGAGACTATAACGCGTTATTTTATTAATTCAAACTACATACTTTCGACGATCCGTGATCACGGGCAGAAGAGATGAAATGTTTTTCATAATAAAAAAATAATGTGTAGTAATTCGAAAGTATTAGTTTTACTTAAATGACTAATCGATAAAATCATTAAACATCTGAAGTATTTTGCTATATAATATTATTACAAATACATTGTTACAAAGGACTTAGAAAAAAATAATATTTTATATTTTAGTTTATCCTATGGAGTATAATTGTGTAAACACAGAAATAAAACGTAGATTCATTGGTTATTTTACAAGTTCATGAACCCTTATTATGAGTTACAAATATATGTTAAAAGAGCGTTAAACTATGTATTTTGTAACAATTTAATTACTTTCAAAACTAATTATTGTTTATAATGCAAAATAATTTCAGACTACGCTTGTTCGTTAATGATATAAAAGCTTTGGTCAATGTTATTCACGTTCTAATAAAATATAAAATCATTCTTTAAACCAACAAAGGAATAATAAAATGTTATCCAATAACATACAGTAATAAAATTTATTTTTCGTCATTGTCAATATTTCTAGTAAGCCAACAATTAGGTTGTTCATTACTAAAAATAAACCAATATTATTTGTACATAATAAATTCAATCAAATTTTTCACATAAAATAAATAACAATGAGAACAACGAAATTATTTAATAAATAAATATAGATGTATTTATTCTGTCAAAGAAAATCAAGCTAATTTGAAATATTTTGCTGATTATCTAGAATGATTTATCATTAATAATATTCCCCCAACAATATTACATTTTTTGTAACATTACTTTGTAATATATTTGTGTTTTTACGGTTGACAAATATTCCACCACTGTCGAATAACATTTACTGTAAGTAAAATATTTCATTTCCTATAGTCTCTGTAACATATCATAAACCAATAAGGTATTTGTCTAGAAAATTCTCTAAGGAAAATCGGGTTGTTGAAAGCAAGTCTATTGTCGGATGATCGCGCGTGAACAGTTTATAAATATAATGATGACCTTAGTTCAACAGATTCATTGTGATGCCAGCGAAACAAGATAAATTTTGTAAATAATTTTACTTGTGATATATCGTAGATATATTTAACCTTATATAATATAAAGAGGTATTATTAAAGTAGCAAGTTATTAACTCATAATAGAAGTACTTACGCTATAAATGATTTCCTTTAACATATTACATTCTGGTTCAAATAATTTTAATAATCTTTTATTGGTTTTATTAACAAAAGAGATACCTATTATTAGCAAAATTTATAAAAGTTAAGTTTTTATTTATTTCGAACATTACATTTTTATGCTCTTACCTAGTTCTTATTCTTTCAATAGAGCTGAATTATAATGAGTCTCCAGTATTTACTTTTTCATACTTTTATCAACAAAATTTCATATTACATTTTAAGACGTTTGTTTTTTAATTTTTCGGCACTTTAAAGTAAATAACGGATAAAGAAAAATCATAAATCTTAATGAAATTTGGTAATAAAAATATGACAACAGAAAAAAACCATCTGTAAATATCTTAACTAAGGTCAAATCTTACTTTATTAAACGAATTTACTTGAAATTAAAGTGTTTATAAATTTGCAAAATATAATTTATTTATATTTATTAACATGGACACATGCAGAACTCAATAATTTAACAAGATTATGAAATTTCATTTCTATTAGAGGTACAATTTCTTCAGCCTTTCTACAACAAAGTCAGACACCAGTACTTTGGAGTCATTAGCGCCTACAAAATCAGTATGAGAGAAGGAATCCTTGGCGACTCTGCGTGGTACACAGTTGGGCATATCTTTGGCCATGTTCAATACATCTTTTTCGTGTAAAAGTTCGTCACCAACCGTGTAGTGCATGATTGTGTCTATATTTATGCGACGTATGTTATAACTTGGAGGATTAATGCTGCCGTATTTAGCCAGGTTCTGGATGGCGCCGTAATTCCACGGTCTAAAGCTTCTGTCGCGTATGTTCTGTCCGTAGTGAGCATATTGCTTGAGCGAAGCACCAGCGATCATCTCGTTTGACGCCAACAGTTGACTCTGGAAGGTTGACGTAGGTTACAGTGAAATTCCTCTCAGATGTATTTGATACAATGAAAAACTATAACATTCTGTTAGAAAATATTTACCATAAAGTCGCTAATTGATTGTATCGCGCATTCCGCTTCAGCATCATCAGAATTTTTGCAATTTGAACTCTCAACTGAGTTGGGACCAAGGATTTCCAGGTTACCGATACGAAGGGCAAAGTTCTGTTTAAATAAAAAAAAGGTTTAAATTGAATATACCAAATATACGTTTAAGTGAAATTATTATATTGAGCTAGATTCATATATGTGTAACAAAAGAAACAATGAATTATGTGTATTAAAGAAATCGTTTTATGTGTCTAAAATAATGGTTTATTAAATTTTGAATAGTATGGTTATATTTTGGGTCTGGCCTTATTTTTTTATATACATTTATACTCACAAATATAATATTAGTGCTGATAGCGAACGCTTTCAACATGACGTTAGGGAAGTGTCTCATGTAACCGACTCCGGCAAGTAAATCTGCTGCAGCAATTTTGTCATTGTACTCAGGCAATACAGAATTCAACACCAAGAATGCCGTGCCTCCCTGGGAATGACCGATGTAATGGAGTTTTTCTTGTTTTGTTTCGCCTAGAATGTAGTCGATTATGGCAGGTAAATCCTTGGTAGCGATGTCGTGGAAGGTGTAGTCGAAGAACTTCAATACATCTCTGTCAGGGTCCAATGAGACATGGTTCCGAGAGTTGAGAGCTCCTCGTACATTGCCCATCCACACGTCAAAACCGGCATCAGCCAACAAGTAACCTGAATTAATATCGCAATTCAGATTAATGATGCTATAATTTGGTTAGGACAATTTAGTTAGTTAATAGTTTAGTATAATTATACGTATAAGTACTATTAATAATAATATTTTTTAAATAATTAATAACAATTGTAGTAATATTTGGGTGTTGAGTAAATTTAATTTATCAATATTTAAGATCATCATACTTAGCTTTTTTTTAGAATACTGCATTTGACTTTTTGTTAATCATTTTAAATACAATATTTTCATTCATTAAGTCATCAACCTGGTTTTCTTTGAAAATACTCTTAACTTACCCAAACTATATTCAGGACCAAGAGCGATGTAGGAAATCGAAGAGCCCTGGAGACCGTGCATCAACAACACAACGGGCTTCTTTGAGCTGGCTCCTTTCTGTGAGCGTCCGTTGGGAATCCTATTCACTTCCAAGATGTATCCATCGCTAGTTGTTACGTAGTGGGACTCTGAGTAATATCCATCACGCGCTATCCTCTTCACCTGATAAAATACACACCTTAACGTCAAACAAAATATTGAAAGCCTTAAGAAAGTTTGAAGATGGGAAATCTTCATTAAATATTGGAATTATTATTTCTTGAGACCTGTATGTAGTTCAAACATTTTGATTTTTTTTTTAACAGCAAACCTACGTTTTAATAACTTGATTCACGGTACAACTTTTTTTCCTGAATAATTGTAGTCGTGTGAGGGCAAGTATTATGTTAATATTATTTACTTACAGTGTCAAAATAAATTTTAGCCGGGCGAACATTGTCCCCGAAACTAGGAGAGGAGTACGCACAAAGTACGAATAAAGCGAATAACGAGAATGTTTTTAACATGTTATTAGTAACAATTATAAAAAATATATAACCCCTACGAATGGAAGCACGTTTTTATATTATAATTTTATCTATCGATTCTTAATCTATCTGCGTCTTAATGTTTTACTGGTTCTTTTATATTTTTCGCATTATCTTAATCTATCCACGCGGAAGAAAAGACGTTTTTTAATCTCAATTGCATTCAACTCCAACTGCATATCTGTTTTATTGAACCCATACTTTATCCATAAACGATTTATCATTTGAATTTTACGATAATAATTATTGATTTATTATTTTCTATAAAACAAACCCACTCTGTTGCTATTTGCATTTGTTTATTATTTGTCTTGTATATATATTTTATATTATGACTCATGTCTGTACAATTTAGCTTTTCCGCAGATAGATAGTAAGTAGTAAGTAATTTGAACATTCATTCAGATAAGTAGATGTTTAAAGATGTAATTACAGAAATGAAATATAAAAATATAAGTATATATTTTTTTAATTATTGTTAGTCTCTGTTGATACGGTTTTAAAAGATTTGAACCATAACGTATGATTGTGTAAACATCAAATGAAATACAACGTTCTATTCATAACTAAATTTATATACATATTTGTCTGTTTGAACAAAGACTGCTTCCAATAATCAGTTAATAAAGCTTACAGGCTTTGCCTAGATGGCGTGATCTACATTTTAGTGATTTTCATATGCCTACTAAAATTATTATACAAAATTTCCTTCTTCAATAAAAACACTGTTTAAATATTTCCTTCATAGAAGTTGAACTAAAATACGAACTTTATTAAAAGGAAAAGTCTTCAGTGATGGTTTATTAATAAGTTTAATATATCAAAATAAATTCATTTTAAACATAAAAGTGATATTAGACTCTCTCTCCGTGGCATTTATTATTCCCATATGATATTAGACTAAGGAATTCAATTCCATAATTGCATTAAATACAAATATTTACTTTAAGTCTTTCATAGATCATATATTATTGTAAATAACTTATTGATGACTAATAAGATAGACATTACCGTTAGGTAATTATTACTAAAACATGATTTACACCAGGGGTTAGATTAGAACGTGTAGCTATTTATCTTATAAAAACTCATTAAGTCATATATTAAACAGTTAGAGCCGGATTATGTGGCCATAAAAATGCTCAGTTTAAATAGACCATATATATTAGATAATCGGCAACGTATGTTTTTAATCGTATTGTTTTTTGTTTATTGACAATATTTTTCATACACTAATAGTGTAACTTAGGTATATTTGTATAGAGTTCAATTCTATTTGATACCGCTGTTAATGTTTTTACAGATTCTTAGCGGCAGTAATTTCACTTACAAAGGTAAATGTAGCCTTATCATAAATAGAATCTTCGACCGTGAAGGATAAGGGTAGAGGTGAAATAAAATAATGTTTTTGTTAATAAAGAATCTGTTTCATTCGTTAAATTCAAATAACCGAAATATATTTATATTTTACCTTAAAGTTGAAGACGAAATTAAAATTCTTAAGTCCGTAAAAAATTTGCTTGAAAAAGTTAGTTAAAATGTTCTTTAAAATGTGTGTGAATATGACACACTTTTATTATGTGTATATAGTATTGTATTAAATTATTAACAATACAAATTATTACATACCAACAATATTTATATAAATATACTCGGAATTATCGTAACATTTCTGTTCAAACTCTTTATATATATCACATTAAATCAATCACCACTCACCACTAATATCTTTCATCATCAATGCCTCAAAACTGAATATGTCCAAGTATTTTCCGCATTTCACATGAAAATATTCTACAAAAATCACTTGTTTTAACCGTTTCTCCGTTAACCTGAAAATTGTTTTGCAAAAAAAAATAATTTCATCATCAAAAAGTTAAAACTTGAAATATTGGTTTCAGACCGAAATTACAAAAGTTTATAACATTTTATGAAATACATTTTCTTTTGATGCCTCGAATTCTTGACTCGGTACTTTCGACACAAATGATTTAAATAAAACTATAAAAATTTCTAATCGTTCTTCGCTCGCAGACACAACTGAAAATATTTCAGAATTTTCCCGTCGAAATAAACGCTATAATTTTTTATAGTATAATAATAATTTATCTTTATTTTTATATAACATAATAAACTACGGAAAGAAATATTCCCCAAACTCAGTTCTGTCTTAACATAAGAGTCAAATTTCTCTGTTAGAGTGTGATTTTCCAATCTTGTCTTTATTAGGCATTGAATTATTTTACAGTCAATTAAGTCATCGAACGTTATAATAAAATATATATATCACAAATATTTTTATCTACTTGCTTTATATAATATATTTTCGTTAGAGCGTATTTGTGTTTGAAACTGGTGAAGGTTTGGTTTTCAAACTTGTACCAAACTAGTTAAAAGATTCTTAGAAGCTCTAAGATTCTGTATTTCCTATCAATAGTGTTACTTCTTCCCAGTCTCATGTCTTAGAACTTCCTAGAATAAAAATAAAACTCAATGAAATATAAGTAACAAGTCTTTAGCGACCCGATGAAGTTAAGAACATTCTTTACATCAGATACTCAGCCAGCTTATTTGTTATCAATAATTAGACAGAAAACTTCGTATGCGATACACGATAATAATTTATAAGGAAAAAACACTGAAAGTATTCTCATTACATTAAATTAGTTGATTTTATTCGTTTGTATAGTAGGTTTTGTTTTTTATATTATGTTTATTGTAGTATAGATATTTATCTCTTATTTTCATACATGATTCAATTGAAGTTGAGGTGTTTTTTTTTCTATTTTAACTTTTTAGTTTTTTTAGTGTAGGTATATACATGGCAGAGTATTTGAATATAACAACGCAACCATTTTTAACGAATTTATATTTAACATTTATTTTTTATACATACAAAAAAGAGTAAAAGGTAAATTATAAAAATAAAATGCCGAGTAGAAAGGAAGCGACCATTCAAAGAACACAAGCATGCAAATATATAATTATCTCATTAATTAGATCATTAACACTGATTAATGTTCTAGTAATTATATTAAATACAAGCATCCAGTTTATATGCCTAATTATTTGAGTTTAGATTTAATATTATTTAATAATTATATTCTAAAAAGAAATGTTAATTGTCCCATACATCAAGAATAGAACAATATTCTATTTTATGTTTTACTTTTCCTTATAAAATTTACCTCACCCTTTTTTTTATTCAGAAATTTTCTCTATAAAAATTGAGATATAAATATTTCAGAAGGCAATTCAGATATTGTTATTGTAAACTTTAAAAGGTAGAAATGATACGCTTTTTCTGAAAGTTTCGTGTTAAATAATTTTATTCGTGAACCGTAATCTTAATTGGCAATTATGATAATTATGAAAAATTGCTATTATGTTTCTTATTGTTTAATTATAGCTTCAGTTTGTTTTAAATTATGTACTTTTATTTTAACATTTTAACCATCAATTTAACAGATCAATGATCAAGATTGTTTAATTTATCTAACGTGCATAGATTTTCTTTATACATAGGAGAATAAATTTGAAATAAAATTAATCTTTTGAGATTTTTGTGTGATAAAGAAATAAATAACAAAAAAAACATCCTCTTACAAGTGATTTATAATTCTAACATTATCAAATACTGTGTGTGAGGTATGTTTTTTTATCATTCTAGGTATAAAGTGATAATAAAAATAATATAAACCAATAGGATCATTAAAAATGACTTCTTATCATAATTATATTGAAATGATTTGATCATTTAGCACCAAACCCTCCCCTACCCGATACTAAACTCTTGCTTCGTTCTAAACGCATTCTCTACCTTAATTTGACTTTCATCTTGAGCTACAGCTTTTAAACAAAACTTCGCCTCTTGTAAGAAGTTTCCATCATGAACGAGATAAAATAAATTTGGAAACATTGTCGTCGTTCACGCCTCCAAACGACTTCCTTCATTAGGGTCTACGAGCCTCACTGAATACTTGTATTTATCCGTTTAATGTCCTGATAGCGGGCATTAACTCGACCAGATAATAAGAGCTTTGCAACACTTTAAAGTCTTTCCAGCGTCGTTGAGAGTACTGATGTACGGAATTGTCGGGGATCACGCTAAGCTGGCTTTTAACCTTCGGGTGACACTTTATTGCTTTATTATGACGTGCTGCCAGTGGTAATGGTGTTTGTTTCAATATACGTACTTCAACGTGTTTTTGTTCATATTAATTTATATTTCGAGCATTCGGTTTTGCGGTTCCACCATGTGTATGGTATCTAAAATTGTATGAGTGAGTTCCTACCGCTTTGTTGAAGCCTTTTATGTTACGTAATTACACAGATATGTTACTTTGCTATAAGATAAAATAGCAACCGTGTTTCTAGGATGTATTATATATTAAATACAGGCTTTTATAAAGGTTAAAACTATTCTTAAATTGATAAGAAATTCAGGCAGTTGAAATTGAAATATAAAAAAATGTACTGCACTTACGCACTCCTATACTGAACCCATAAGAAATCCAAAAAAAGCTGTACTGAATTTTAATGTAACAAAATACATATATGTGAGCTAATTTAATTTTCATTTTTATCTTTTCATTTATTTAACTAAAATATCAATGTTGCATATAAAGTTTATATTAGAAAATTAAAAAACTTATTTAGAGGGCCTGTGAGAAACATTAATCAGGTGTCAGAAGTTTAATAAGGTTCAATGAAATAAAAAATATTTTCGCTGCTAACGACAATGTCACTTAATTCAAGTGTCAAAAACTCATTTAACAACTGTGAATGTAACAAATAGTTTAGAATTAGTTATCCATATTATATATGTATGTATATATTTCAACTTAAAATGAGTTAAAGATTTTCTGTGTAAAGGATTTTCAAGTCTGTTTCTATTCAGATTTAAGAGCAGTTCATCTATTCACCGCATAGAAATGCGAGTCTTTTTCGGATATTTGAAAATAGGAACATTTTTAAGAACTATCTCCGCAGTCGTTGAATTTCCATTTCAATGAACAAAGCTACGAAAAAACAATTTGTATTCGGATATTGACACAATATTCTCCTGTGAGAGAGCGGAAAAATGTGCAGATTGTAAATAATGTGACTTGGAGGATATAATTGCATTGCTGTTGTCTGGTTTCAGACTTCATATTTCATACAATTGTTCACATTCAATACATAAATAAAGTCGACATATTTTACCACCAATATTCAAAGCGAAAATTTTATTACCAATTTCATTTATATATTTAAATATAATTTATACCGGTATTATATTAGAAAGGATTTAAAACAAAGCAATTCCATTCGATATATTTTTTGGGGCACGTTTAAAAAAATATCGAAATACCAAATAGAGAAAAGTTATGTGAAGCATAAAACCGGGTAAATGATTCGGGTGTATTGAATAACAAAGTTTGATGTCAGATATCGAAAGGAAAGGCCACCGGACACGAATAAATCACTGACTAGATTTAATGGACCTCTGTCGAATTGATCTAATGACGAACGACCTTGCCCTCCGACCGCCCGACCCTATACACAAATTGCATTTGATTTAATGCCTTGATGGATTATGATGAGATTCAAATAACCTAAGAGAAAATCAATAAATTATCTTTATTTTTCTCTTTGCATGTAAAATTATTTAAGGGCTGGAAGGGAAATGGTGGCGTTGGATATATAACAATTTTAAACACGAAATTACATTATTAAAATGCTTTATTTTATACTAAAACCTCTTTATTTACACTTATAATATTTTCGAACAGTACTTCACACCAAATATTTATATTATAAAGCTTTGTTTAGGTACATAAAATAAAATTATAAAATATTCAAAATAAATGAATATAGTAGAGAATTTTGTTTTCAGACTCATTTTAGTCTTTTTAATTTAATTTCATTAATCCCATCCTAATTAGGTTACTAAATATATTTACATATTTCAATTTTCCGTTTCAGAGGTAAGAATTTTTTAATTTTTCCACAATAAAATCAGTTACTAGTTCCTTAGAATCATTTGATATAACGAAATCCATGTGTCCAAAGCTTTCTCTCGCTACTCTACGTGCTTTAGCGTTTGGAATAACTCTGGCCATACTTAGAACATCTTCTTCACTCAGTAGAACATCGGACATGGCGTAATGCATCGTTAAATCCACAGTGATGCGGCTGATGTCATACTTAGGAGGCTCAAAGCTGCCATATCTCACTAGATTTCTTAGAGGTCCGTAGTTGTACCGTCTAAAGGATTTATCTCTGATGTTTTGTCCAAAGTGCGCATATTGCTTGATAGATGCTCCCGCTATTATCTCCAGACGTCCAAGCATTGAAATTCCCTCCTAAAAAATATTTACATAATGAATAATTTTAATCGACTACGATTTATTTCGAAGGTCTATGTTTAGATAAAAAAACTTAAAACAATTCTGTTAAAAATGAATAATTTTATTTTTTTCGGCCTATTTTAACCTACCAGGAATGAAAGAAATTTATCAAATAGGTTCGCTGCTTCAACCTCTTCTTTATTCATGTAGTCCGCTAAGATTGCACTCTTTTTTAAATTTCCAATTTCCATCAAGCCCTGTCGACGAGCTAACTCCTGAAATTTTAAGAAAACATGCTACAAACTTATTTAAAGAGCTATTTTAGCTGTAATTCATGTTTTGAATAACATCAACCATTTTACAAGATAAGTATTTTTATATATTTATTTACTTACAAAAATTAAATCGGTTTGTTTGGCGATTTCATCTATGATTTTGGTAGGGAAGTGATCCTGATAGCCTACGCCAGCTAGCAAGTCAGCTGATATGAATTTATCATTGTATTCTGGCTTCAAAGAGTTCAAAGTAATAAATGCAGTTGCTCCTTGTGAATGTCCGACGTAATGAAGTTTTTCTTGCTTTGTGATTCTAAGAACAGCGTCTATCATAGCAGGAAGGTCCTTAGTAGCGATATCTTCGAAAGTGTAATCGAAGAATTTTATCGCATGATCAGGGTTGTCGGGATCCAATATTAAGTGTTTTCTGGAATTCAAAGCCCCTCTCGCATTTCCCAACCATACGTCGAAACCAGCTTCGGCCAAGTTGTATGCTGAAATTAAATGAACGATAAAAATATTAATTATGTATTTCATATTTATAATGATAAGATAACTACTTTCTATTAACTTCTAAGATATATTCAAGGATAATAATCATCTTACCTAAACTACGTCTTGCACCCAGGGTTATGTAGGTTATCGAACAGCCCTGGAGTCCATGCATCAAAAACACAACAGGTTTCTTTGGAGCAAATGGATTCCTCCAGAATTGGAAGCGCTTGTAGGGAATTCGAACTAATTCAAGGACGTATCCATCGCTGGTAATCACGTTGTGGGATTCCGAGTAATAGCCATCTCTCGCTATTCTTTGTGCCTGAAAATGGATTGTATTTCATGTTTCATCACACAAATAACGTAATGAAATCTATGTATTTAATAGTTTTTTTCTATTTCCTCGGTTATCAAAGCTTTATTTCCTAGAATACCTACTGATAGCAGCCTTACAAACACTCAGTGACTTTGTCAAGAAAAAAATTTTCGTTGTAAATATATAAGTAATTAAAGAAACTTCGATCTAAATCCTTATTTTGCCTCATTTAATACATTCTTAATCACTAATTAGTGTGATAATCACAATTAAGTCATAATCAATTCAATAATAATCTTAGGATTTAAGTTATCACAATCAGTGAAAGGATTAAGATTTATTGAAATTAATCTGTTTTTAAGACGCATTATAACTAAATAATTCTTTAAATAAATTATAATAATAGTTTAAAAAACAAGCTTTTATAGCAAACCGAACTAAAAACTTAATATGAAAAGAATATCCTGGCGGCCCTAACGAGGATAATGGGAAATTGTTAACGAATTATTGTATTATCATTGGTCCTTGAGACATATGCAAAGTTTCATGTTAATCAGATGTTTAGAAACCGGTGAAAATTGTGCTCAAATATTCCGTTACATACATACATACATACAGCCCAAGCTAATATAAGCGTGTTAAAAAATAACTAGATTTGCTGTGTTAAATGTTATGGGATAACATTAACGGTTTATTATCAGGGCAATTTAATTTGTATGTTTACAATATAAACTTTACATTTATTATAAGAGTCGATAATACAAAATATTTGATTAAAGTAATAGGGAAATAGTAAAACTTTTATTATTGCTTCAAACGTTATCACCGCCTTGACATTGCTTTATACATTTTTGTTACATTTATATGACCAATGATTTTAATAACATTATTATATTTTATCGACAGAATAGATAGAAACTTCTCTGTTATGTAGATGCACCGTGCGGATGCCGGGAGAGGAGCTTTAACAGTGTCTGGGACTTGCGACCCAGGTGTATGTTTAAGGGGCCTCTATCTAACGCACGATAAATGCTTACCTCCTTCGTCCAAGCTCCTCTCTCTACCTAACCAAATTTGAAACTAACCTACTAGGGCTGCCTTCGAAGTACGGTGCAAGAATTAATTGATGTTAGTTTTGGACCCGCCCAAGTCTTTCAATAGCTTGTAGAAAGATTTAGCTCACATTCCCCTCGCTCCCACTTCTACCGCCTACAAATTTACGACCAACCTATTCTTAGTAATTTCGTTAGTGAACTCGTAATATTTATTGACCTCGATTTCATGATCTTTGAGTATGTTGGTTTCCCAAGGAACCGTAAGCTTAAGATAACGCGCTTTAAAATTTGTGAAAACAGAAATAAGTCTGATCTGGACGCTGACGGATAAATATCCTCTGGGATATTATATTGTTTCCCATACCTACGCATCATTATAGTTCAATCCGGAGCCGCTTTAAGGATAGGATAAGCCTTACGTTTGATTTTCTAGACCTAGTGCCATCGTTCACGAAAAATATCGATCGCTCGTTTGTGGTTATTTCTTTTGGTAGGTGTATATGTTTTTACTAAATTTATTTTCACTTACGATGTCATATGCCGTATCATCGTTCCCACTATGGAGGTCCCTGCCCTCCGGGATCGCTGGTGATGGCCCAGCCTGTGCGGTGACAAGAGCGGTCACTATCAAAACAAATGCCAACATTATTGTTTGTTGAATGACAACATACCAAAATTCGTTTTACTATTTATTGTAAACTTTATCTGTTTCGACGGATAATCAAATAATTATCATTAGACGAATTCCTTTCATGTAATACAAGACATTACCCGCGACTTCTTTCATGAGACAAATGTTATTAAATAATATTTTTGTATTACAATTAGCTGTAAGACTGCGGTTGATATATTTTATACAATGTTCAATAACACACAAAAATAACTAGTATGTTGTAATTTAAAACTTAACACATGTAACTTATTAAAATATATGTAAAATATTCAGAATCAAATATATTTTTTTGAATCCAACAATCCCGAGCCAGTCTGAAGAGCAATTTGTCGAGAGATTGTTGAACTAGTCGAGAGTCGGCACGTGGTTGAAATACTGCCAGCACAGTGTACACATTAATTGTTGTGATTATTTTATTAATTAATAATTAACTTATGAATATTTCAACAGCGAGCACCAGATTAAATATTATTAAAATTATGTTATTTTCTCGTAAAAACAAAAGATATTATATGTTAATCATAACTTTACGAGGCAAGAGTTGTTTTAGTTATATATTCTTGAGTGTTGGAAAATTTGAGATGTGAATCTTTGGCATATAATGTTCAACACTATTTTATAGAACAAATGTTATTATTTGTCACAATAACACTATAAAAATTTATATATTGTTTTTGAAATTTATTAATTCATTTTATTTTGTTTCAACTACGTAGATTTATTTCAGAAATATCTTCAGTTTTCGTATGAGTATTCGTCAGCCACGTTACTGACAAACTTTTTAAAGCCTGTGATTTAAAATTCAGGTGTGACTTTACCGCGACGGGAGGTCAATCAAGTGGCTTTGTCTATTATAAATGACTATGGAAATTACAAATCTGTGTCTGTTTTTTTTATTACATATATATATATATATATATATATATATATATATATATATATATATATATATATATATATATTTATCTGTATAAAAGTTATGTATTATTATATTTGAATTAATTTTTACATTATCATCGTCTTTAATTAGTACCTGTTTATCCCTACTCCCTACTAATATTATAAATGCGAAAGTAACTCTGTCTGTCTGTCTGTCTGTCTGTCTGCTACGCTTTCACGCCTAAACCACTGAACTGATTTTAATGAAATTCGGTACAGAGATAGAGTTGACCTTGAGAAAGAACATAGGATAGTTTTTATCCCAGACTTTTGAAAGGTTCTCTTGGAAACGCGATATAACCGAACTCCACGCGGCGAAGCTGCGGGCGGAAAGCTAGTTCTAGATAAAATGTTTAATCGCTATTTTTTATTTTTCTATGATGACTTGTAAAAAGTGTGTTTCATGCATGCATTCATGCACAATAAATGCGTTGAGACATATTTTATATTCCTTTATAACAAATTGTGATTTTTTTCTATTTGCTGTAATCAACTATATCCCACATAAAAAGAAAATATTTTTGGGCATATATAAATATATTTCATGATTCTGGTAATTTTATTTTTTTACATAATTTTTATCTAACATACACAGATTTATAAAATATCAATAAGGGGATTTTTTTTCGTATTCCATTGCATGTAAATACTTGATAATTAACGATAAGTGATCGCTCAACAGCTGATTGTGATAAACTTTGACAATGACTTTGTTAACAACAGATTATAATGATTAATTAATAAAAAAACTGATTTTGCACTGTCATGTGAGTCATAGAACGAAAAGAAGGTATTAAAAGTACTGAATGTTATTATGAAATATCAAAGGAGTGACTAGGATTATTGGATGGAGATATTTGTATTGAAATTTGGTTCAATAAAAAAATTAACAATGAATGGATTGATAAAATCCTCGTATTTAAGGAAGTATGTCTTTAATATATGAATGATCATAGATCAATATTTAATTGGTAACCACCACGAATAGTTTATTATGTAAATAAGTATAACTTATAAGCCTAACTTCTACATTTTCAATATTTTTTTCAAACCGTTTAATAAGGTCAAAAATATTAAGAGTAATGTTATTGAATTCCAACATGTACAAATGTAAATAACAGATATTAAATATTGACACAGATTGACATTGTACGAATAAAAGTCATTAAAAGTCGCGGGAAAACCTAGTGATATAATGATTGTTAATTGTCTTCGTCTTTTCTTTCTTCTCTCACCTCTTACGACCATCGTCCTACGACTTAGTATCGTCCGTACTGAATTTAATTTCGAACATTGATAATAATTTTTTAGCCTCAATTAATATTTTCGCTTAATCGACATTTCCTTTTAATAACATCTCGGATTTTCTTAAAGCCGCCCGTTTTCTTTCGGACCATTAGTTTTTATTTCACTCTTTGACACATTTTGAAGATTTCTTCAAATTGAATTACCGTCGGACTCTTGGTTATATTAAAAGATATTCCGTTTGGCGTTATCATACAAAAAGCAAAGTAATTAGCAGAGTGTTTCTGCTTCGTTTTAATATGCTTTAAAAACTCATTTATCTTTGTTTTCAAAGGCACGAACAGATTTTAAAACAAGTGACAATAATAGTTTAATTCAAATTAAATTAACACAAATGTGATTGCTATATAATATTGGTATCTTTAGTTTAAATATTACATAGGAAAATTATTTCTAATACATAAATTCAGTTGGGGCTCGAATTATGCAAAACTTCTAAATTGTTTTAAAATTTAAGGCGACAGGTGGGTACTATTAGAAGAGTAATAAGGAAATGCTTTTAAAACTTTGCCTTTAATAGTATCCTAAGTAGAATGTCACCGGTTTAAAATATAAGTGGATTTACATTTTTTAATTCAACATATTTATATATAGCTATCTATTTTGTCGGTTCAATAGTATCTTCGTAGCGGAAACAATCCGAAAATCTATTTCCTGAACGATATCAAGTCTCGATATAGCCTAAAGGTTATATAAGTTCACTTACTATTCACTTTAAACTTCTAGTTTAATAGAGTCATGTATGTATAAAACAGCGGAATGTTATTTGAGAAACCGTCTCATTATTGTTCAAGTGACTCTCATTTCTCCTTCTATGTACTTTTAAAATCAAAACAGTTTGTTGTTTATTGCTTTAAAAATATAGATAAAGAAATTTAAAAATACATGATTGATGAGAGAAGATGCTTGTCTACAATCCTTGATAAAAGTTCGTATGGAAATTCGTGACGCAAACATGACAGACTGGCTGCACAATTTAAAATTAAATCTTGAAGGAGATTGTAAAAAATAGAATGAGTACTCCCGGCTTGATAGTTTTGTTTACAGATAAACCAGCTGTTCGAAGTTGGAGCGAATAGCTTATAACAACATGTTATCTAATAATCTAACTTAATCCAAATGATTACACGTTCTAAACATTGGAAAAACATTTATTATTGACGTACACATCGCATAGGCATTGTTCCCACGCGCAGACTCTTAACTGATTCAACAGCCTCTCGACAAATTGCTCTTCAAACTAGCGCGGATTTGTTGGATAAAAAAAATATACTCTTTCAAGTCCATTAAGTCGCCTTATACATACGTACGGATTAATCTTTAATTATTTACTATCGAGCAGAATATTTTAAAGGTATTTTTTTTATTTGATAATGCATGCGACAGATCTTAACAATACTATAGATATAAAATTATATCGCACATTGTTTCAGCATTTCCTCAACCTTGCTATAATATTTTTAAATTGTTTTGTAGTTTTGAATGCAATTTTTCTAACGGCGTTATATGTGAATTTAATAAGTAAAAAGTGACTGGATTGCGACGGTTATTATGAATCAGGACTTCGCCGAACCATTCCATAGGTTTGATATAGTTTAGTTTCATTTAATACTTTTTATATTTATTACAAAATGATCTGCCGTTTGTAGAATGGAAAATAGTCTTTTATTTTAAGTTCCTGTTGAAAATGTATATTTTTTTTTTGTGTAAGAGGTCACCTAGACTCGGCCAGCAGTCAAGAATCGAGTACAGCAAGTAATCGATGCTTGTGACGTCATAATACAACACTCGCTTGGACCATTCGAAATCTTCTTTACCTATTTCCCAGGTTTCAATGTACAAATACAGCCTTCACCTCACCGGAAATGTTACTTTTCTCGTTCCATTGGCATTCAGAATGCGAAAGATATATTTAAAGCTGTCCATTTAGAGATAAAAGAAAGTTTCTTGTTCTGAAGATACATTTCACGTAAGAATAAATTATTATCTATAATATAAAATTTATTGATTGATAACACTAGTCAGAGATGCAAAAACGTGGATGTCAGCTACACATTTCCAATAGTGAAGTTGACGCGGTTGCAGGCGCGGGGAAAAACCAGTATTTAAGTATATTTATATTGATTAAACTTTATATCAATTTTATAATTGGGAAGGTAAGGCGGGTTGTTTGTTGAATTTTCAAGTATTTTAAATTATGTTGTTATAAATCACAAAATAAAAGATACAAAACTTCTGTATAAAAGTCTTTTAATTTGTTGTATAAAAAAATTATTCCGATCTTCACATGATCAAATAATTTTCATAATAAATAAATAAATATGCATCCCGTTTATTTTAATTATGACCTTTTTTCAGTCTCAATGCTTTTCATTCATATCGTTTTTTGAGTCCGTTTACAACAAAATCTGTAACTAATTCTTTAGAATCATTGGAAATTATGAAGTCCATGTGTCCAAAGCTTTCTCTCGCTACTTTTCGGACTTTAGCGTTTGGAATTACCGCGGCCATATTTAAAACGTCTTTTTCACTTAACAAAATATCAGACATAGCGTAATGCATTGTCAAATCTACTGTAACTCGTCTCAGATCATATTGGGGTGGCTGGAATCTACCATATTTCAGCAAATTTTGTACCGGTCCATAGTCCCATCTACGGAATGATTTGTCTTTGATGTTTTGTCCGTAATGCGCGAATTGCTTTACTGATGCTTCACCAAGAACTTCCAGACGTCCAAGCATTAAGAGTCCCTCCTGAAATAAAAGTAGTTCATAAATAACAAACACATTCTTTCATAGCTATGAATATAAACTTCTGAAGAAGATACAAAAAAACGTTTGTAGAACTTCTTCAGATTATTAAGAAGCTTACCAAAAAGGAGCGTAAAGATTGTAGTATCAGTGCAACTTCATTATTTGAGCTTAGTACGTCAGAGTCTTCAAAATTTAAGTTCTCGTCTACAATTTGTTGTTTTAATCTAAAACCTACTTCAAGTAAACCTCTTCGAACAGCAAAGTTCTGGAAAAATTAAGTAACACTTAAAAAAAACATATATACATACAATATGAAAGTGAAACTTCTTTTGCAACTTCCAACAAGATTGCTTTAAATGTAAGACACCGGGGAGAGGTAATTAAATAGAGAATAATCTAGAAAAATGGTAATAAAGTTTGTCTTAAAGAAACAGTAATAATTCCTTAAAAAACTATTTCTACGTCTTAATGTTTTCACTCCAACATTACAAAGTTTCACTGCTTTTGCGTTTAGGGACTCCACGCGCATTTAATTTTTATTCTTTTTAGTTTACTTATTTTCTTAGTAAGGGAAAAAATATTCATTTAAATAAGTGTAGCAACACACTAGCTACGATGAAACAATGATCTTACATTGCAATATCTCGAGAGCTTATGGATCTTATTACTTCTACTTAAAACATTATACATATTTAATAGTCGCATCAACAATACTTTACTTACATAAATGAAGTCAGTGGCTTTGGCGATACTTTTCAATATAGCAGTTGGGAAATGATCTTGATAGCCAACACCAGCGAGAATATCAGCAGATATGAATTTATCGTTATATTTCGGTAAAAGTGAATTAAGGACCAAGAATGCAGTGCCTCCTTGAGAGTGTCCGACGTAGTGTAACTTGTCTTGTTTAGTTCTTTGTAGGACGTAGTCGATCATGGTTGGGAGGTCTTTAGTAGCAATGTCTTCGAAACTGTAATCAAAGAACTTCTTAGCGTCCTTAGGGTCGTCAGGATTTAAGGAAACGTGGTTGCGAGAATTGATAACTCCACGTGCATTCCCCATCCATACATCGAAACCAGCATCAGCCAAGTTGTAAGCTGAAATATAAACATTTAAAATGGTTAGACTTATGTCATAAAAGTATTTTTCCCAACACATATTTTTCTGATTCATGTTCATTCATACTCATCTTACCTAAACTTCTTCGTGCACCCAAAGTAATATAAGATACTGAGGAACCCTGGAGTCCATGCATCAAAAATACAACAGGCTTCTTCCTAGCGAATGGATTCAACCAGAATTGGAAGCGCTTGTTTGGAATTCGTACCAATTCAAGGATGTACCCATCGCTGGTAGTGACCAAATGGGATTCAGAATAATATCCGTCGCGAGCTATCCTCAGACCCTGCAAATTGACAATACGTTTCTTCACCAAACACCTTACTGTTTTAATTTTAACCCTAAACCAGGCATAGTACTACTAATCAAACATCTAGGTAATTGAAGTTTTAAAGCGATCTTTGTCTTTTTTTAATTCATAAAACCTTTATTTGATTACCAATATTCGCAACTTTCGTATAAAGCTAATCAATTTTTTTCTTTATTTTTTTTCGTACACAAAATCTTTAATGAATGTTTTACTATATTTTTGGAAATCTTTTAGATTTTCCACAATTACACCCATGATAATCCGCTACTACCTCAGTTCGTTCGTTTATATTATAAATTTGAGTTTTTACATCAAGTTTCGTCTACTCACATTATTAAACTGTTGACGTCTTACAGATTGTGTTTCATCAACTCCGTGTACCACATCTAGGGGCACAGCTTGTGCGCAAACCACAGTGCTCACTAATAAAATTACACCTAACATGATTAAAAAATAATAAACATCGCCCGTATCCCGCCAACATTTATATCCTAGGCTTTATCTATGATAAATTCAAATCTTCATCACCATTAGATAAGGAGATTTTAATTATTATACTTTTCGCACAGTCGCATAGTATTTATATTTTTATGTAAAAACACAGTATTTGAATACTAAAATTTCATTTCATATTATTTACACGTCACTTGATGTGCATGTACTCGTATGTAACAAGTTAGAAAAGTGTTTTAGACATTCATTAATTTTTGAATTTATTTACAATAAAATTGATATTTTAAGGTTTATGATCTTAAAATATAACATTAATATATAGATATGTTATTACACTTTCTATTTACATTAAGTTATTAAGTAGTTTAGACATAGAATTAATTTTAATGGGAGTTTAAACTTTATAGTAGAGGGACTCGGATTTATATCATCCCCAAAATATTCATAGTCATGTACGTAAGAACCATCTTTTTTAGATACATGAACATGATATTAAGCGGACACTTATTTCAAAACTAGTCGTAGTACTAATTTTGTGCTTACTTACTAAAAAATAAAATTAGGCTATCTGTTTGTAACTTTACTCTAATATTAGTATGCGCACAAGGTAAAATATTATTTTGATCCTTTTTTTGTTCTAACCAATCTTTGAAATGTTATAGCGATTTTCAAAGGATTTTAACTAGCAAATAGCTGTTGTAAAAAGAATTAACTCAGACAACTCTTATTTAATAAGTTGTATATTTTGTCTAAAAAGTCACTGCCATGACAAAAAAAAAATCTTTAAAGTAATGTGTAATGAGTTATGAAAATGAATCTTTAAATTATCATTGCTTTAACTATAATTTATTACGTACTACGCAATTTTTACGTCATTTTGCAGGGACAATAACAGATAATTTTTTCATTAATTCTGCTTAAGTTAAGCGTATTTTTATTTTTTTTTTTGGCACCTGTTCTTGTGTTTTTTAATCAAACAATATTATATCATAAACCTGATGTAGCATTTTCAATATGTTCATATATGTACATTTATTATGAACACTATTTATTAAAATGAACAAGTGCTTATTATATATTTCGTTCGTTTTTGTCACACCAACCACTCAGTATCACACGTACCATTCAAATTTAATTTTAGACCCCAATTACTTTTCCGGCTTAATCGAAATTTTCTCGTTACTTTCTGCAATAGTCTATATATTCTACAAAATTGATAACCACGTATTCAAATTTAAAAAATCATGAACAATTCAAATTATCGTCATATTTGTTTTTCTATAAGGAATATGTTTTCTATTTGATTGTTCGATTCTCGATCAATACTCGGAATAAATTTTTTGGTAAGCATACTTCTGTTGTTATTCTTCTTAAATTATATTTATAACACTTAATGTAATGGTATATATATAGCTTGAGGTAAAATATTTGATACCTTGAATGAACTCTCGAATTTAGGCAAACGCGTTTCAGCAGAAGACGTTGTTGCTTGTGGCTGAATGCATACGTTCGCTTCAAAGGCGCTGACTAGGTTAATAACTAGTTCTATGTTAAATGTTCATACATTTAGATAAAATATTTAAGTCGGATTTTGTTTATTTCTTTAATATACTTATTTGTTATTAAGAATCAATTACGTACAGGCTTTGTCGCATAAATATCTTATTGTGAGTGAAGTTCTTGTGTCTGAAATATTTTCATAAAGTATAACAAATATTCTTTTATTTTTCAGGTAAGTTCACAATTTTTTCTGGCAAAACTGAAGAGAAAAAACACCGAAGGTAACAAAAAATTCACATATTATTTGTAAATTTATATTGGAAACCAAAACAATGAAATATTTGATCCAAAATTCAATCACTTTGAGTATTTTGTTCAAGTTTAAGACAATGCACTTTGATGTTTTAGAATTTAGACGACGGAATGTCCATTATTGATGGTCAGCAACCATACTGGTCTTAGAACAGATTGCAATATATAGATATCCGAATCCATCAGTGTGACGTCATACAGGTTGTAACTCTCATACAATATTGTTATTGGTCTTTAAAGTAGAATATTATATATACGGACATATATGTAATATACATTGTAGTATTAAAAGTAATATACCTAGTAAGACAACAAACCATAAAATTAGGTAAAAAAAATAATATGTTTTATTTTGTTCACAAAAATCCTTATGTAATTAGTATTTTGAACCTTAAATATGTATTATCAGTCGAAAGTGTAGGTGAAATTTATTACTCATTGGAAGCTGACTTTTTTCGTTTTCCTTCAGACAGTACCATGGTACCACTTAATGAATATAAAAACTGTAATAAAGAAACAATATGAAAGGTCATTGCCAATAAAAATGTATCGTACAATTATACAAAACTGTGAAAATAGATTAATTATAACAAATGAACAATAAAGTAAGATAAGATATGACAAAATGGCAATCTTAATGCGTACTTACATGTCATAAATAAGAATGATCCTATTGAAAGTATCTGATACACAATCTTGTCTTCAATATTACGGCTAAAGGCGGGAAACTTTTAAAATGTTACAATATTATTATATATCACGTAGCCCTCTCTGCTCTGAAAAGATTTACCAACAGTCGCTCTTTAAACTCCAGCAGCTAGTTCGGTTTATAAACCTACCGAATGTTAGAAAAACAGTAAATAAATAACATACACGAGTAAATAACGTGAGAAAACATATCCTACAAAAATGGAAAAAAATTCTGTGCTGAAAAAATATTTATTGTTTAATAGAAATCCTGTTTCGATCGAAAAAATATCAATTCTATATGAAAATACATAATAACCGATTTTAACTAAAATAAAAATATTAATCCACATAATAGCTTCAGTTTAACTAGACTGACTTATATATATACATAGGTATATAGTTATATCAAACTATACTGAGAACGAACGCTTTTCATACTTAAAATAATTCCTACCCTATCAGACGTACATTCATTACCTCCTTTTTCGACATCGATTCAAAAACTTGCCGCCCCTGTTCAGATTGTTAACTCATTTTTGTTTTTCATTTCAGCTGCGTACCTAATCGCCATATTTAAATTAGCTTTTATTCCTTACAATAATATTTCTCTCTTACTTCTTTTAACAGTTTTTATTAAAATGAAACATAAAATACATCTTTGGTAAGTCATTAACATTTTAAATTAGAACTTAATTCTCATTTCTCATAGTACATCGACAAAAAGTATTTTACAATCAGGTTTAATTTAGCAATTTCATCGTATTTAAGTCTTATTTGAGATACAATGGTTGTAATGAATAATGAAAAAGTTAGTGAATTGCATGTGGACCGCTTGGTTAAGGGTGAATTATCTGCGGCAACAACCCTTTTCAGTGAAATTCATTGGGACAGCATCTATTAACACAATATTTCATCCAATACATCCATGATGACGTGAATTACAAATGAACTAATGAATTGGATTTTAATAATTATAATTATATTGTAATTCAATTACTCTGCCTCATTCACAATCTAAAGGTGTTTAATTCAATTAGTTATATTGATTAAATAATTAATGTTTTAATAAAACTTCCGTTAATGTCCTCTTATTAAATTATCTAAAAGGAAATTATATTTGTTGAGATAAAATTTGCTAATGATGATTGAATATTGAAGGGTTGGTGACTATTAGCGATCCGATTCTTGATAATAATCATGTATTAGAGATAGGCAGTGCTACATGTATCTAATAGATTAGAAAATGGACTATCAACTATAAGTATAAGTTATTATTTATATATTGAATTAAAAAATAAGTTAAATAATTTAACATTACTAAAGTTTTTAATATTTTCTTAAAATTTAATCTGGAATAAATTATTATTTATTGAAACGCACAATGCAGAAATAATATATAGTAAAAAATATTTGCGAATAAAAATGAGAACACATCAATGGAATGAACTAGAAACTTTTTAATAGAAAAAAATCTGACAACACACGTTTATTATTTTGTCAAATATTTTTTTTGTCAGACCAAACCATAATAAAATAAAAATATTACTGTTACTTGCTATAAGTTTCTTATAAAGTATACAAATATTTGAAGGATGACCATAATACTTGATGATTCGGAAGAAGTAACCTGTTCTCACTGCGCTCAGTTGAAAAAGACCTTCATATTAATAGCAGTGTCCTCAGTGTTCGTGGTTGTGACTGTAGCAGTTGTCCTCCTCATACTAATGTCCAGTGAAGTGGAATCTGAGATTGAGAATTTTAATGGCGTGTTAGTGGAATTCGTCCTCGGATTGGTATACGTTCAGCTATTCGTTGCTGCTTGCCTCCTGGCAATAAATATTCTGAGGAGAAGACACGCGACCTTCAAGTTCCACCTCTGGTATGTAGTTTTCCACGTCACAACCATGTCTCTGTTCTTGGTGACATCCTTCGGTATGACTCTGGCGAACAAATCCTACGGTCTCTTCACCGTAGTGGCACTAGCTTCCATCACATACTACACCGTCCTGTACTATTATTTTAAGATAAGGAATATGGCTTGGATTTTATTTAGAAACAATTATTAGATCGCATTGTTATATTATAATAAATTGTTTTATCGAGTCTCTTTTATTGTTCGTTGATCCACCTTTGTGAATGGAAGCTTATTTTGTGGGCATTTGAAAGTGGCGCTACTCGCGAGTAATCGGCTTCGACCCCGTCACAGCCTTACATAAACCTGACAATGAATTTGCATAAACTATTCATACTGTTCTAAAGCTTCTCGTTTTATCCTTCGCTAAAAGCAGAATATTATAGGATCATCTTATTATTACTTTCTATTTCAATTCGGTTTCTCTTAACGTACATATTTTAAAAGTCAAAATATCCTGGAACCGTATAGAATAGGACAATCGGAAATGTATTGGGAAATCATTTATTTTAAACTTCAATACTTTACTTTTTTTACTTGTATGCAATATTTTTCTATCAGTTTATTGGTTTAATTTAATAGTAAAAAATCGACATGAAACAAAACATCAGCTTTGGTAAACTTAAGATGAGAATTAATTTAAAACTTATAGTTTTATATCCGTTATAGATGATAAAAGTTAATAATAAAATTTAAAATTTATAAATAATAATAACGCTTAGCTTTGACGATGGTATGATAATTAAAATCACCTATACCCTATAAGGCCTATAAATTTTCTTACTTTTTACATAAATACATTATTTAAACGCATTTTTTCTTGTTTATATTAATAGGAAATCATTAATAATCTACAATAACCCAATCTAGAATCTTCAACTACATCGATTAAAGCATTGTCAACTCACAACCATAAAAAAAACGAGTTATCGCCCAGAGGTAAATAGAATTTAAAATGTGACGTCACCCATCCATGTTCGAGCTACTAAACCAATAATTCAGCTAATCTTATCTGAAAATTGGAAAAGCAATTTCAAAGGGGCACTAAAACTAAGAGCACTATTTCAAAAACCGCGTACGTCCATTCAAATCTCATTCCAGTAAACGTTAGTCCCATCAAAGTCCCACAAATTGCGAACTTAACCACAACACTCGGAGCAGCGAACGAATCAACTGTCAAATCAGAATCATTGTTGTTGAATTGCCCCTGAACCAGTCAGCTGGGTAATTGCAAGTAGATGGGAATTAAGACGTCACCACCAACATTTAGGATTGTGGATGGAAACAATGTTGATTTGGAAAGATGAAATAAACGTGTGTATATATGATTATATGGACATGTAATTCTCTGATAGCTTAAAAAAGAACAGTAACCTTGTTTCCTTGTGTTGTTGGTCTTGATTTATATTATGCTAAAGCAATGAAATGACTTAATTAAACAGATGCTTTATTGTTGGATCCCGTAACATTAGACTGACTTATTATTAAAAAATATATACAAACTATAAAGTAATTAACTACGTCCCATATGAACATTCATATACATCAAGTTTTGTAAATATATTATTAAAAGTAAGATAACACAGTTTAATATAGACTTACATGCTCCTATTGGAATAAATATAAGAAAGACAAAATTGTCATCAAATATGTTATTATAGAATTCTAAAGTAATATATTTGAGAGAGATAATTTAAACCTCCTGTTATAATTAATTAAATTAACAGCTTCAAATTAGTTCAACAGTATACTAAATGCCAGCAAAAAAAACATTTTCAAGTCACATTCAATACTATATACAATATAACACAGTTAATAACAATAAAACAGTAAAAGTAAAACAATTTAAAACCGCTAAATAATACGTAATTGAGTTAATATCATCGGACATATGAATGAGAGCAGGCGAACGTTTTTAATTAAGTTTACTGAATAAATATTAAACGGCAGTCGGAATAAAGAACATTTATAATACAAGAAGTGGATATTAAGAAAATAAAAGGTCCTTCTCAGTGTCGGCGCCTCAACGCGCAGCTGTACGAAATAATTAATTAAATGACCAGAGAGAGTTCCCTCCGGCCGCAATGTTCTCCATAGTTTGAAAAGCAATTTATTTACCTGCACATTTGGCAGCCGAACCAACTTGGCAACTGTTTAGTAGGTTCACTAATTTAAACCAATGACCCTTCTGAACGCGGTAATCCCAAATAATGGATGTTCTACAAAGGCTTTGGACAGGTTTTAGATAATTACAAAATGATCCTTATAAATAGCGTCTTGATTCTCGAGAAAACTTAATTGTTGCAACTTTTGTTGGAAACGAATCCCTCCCAGCTTCTTATCCCTACTAGCTTCGAGTCTATGGAAATAAGCAATTTGTTACAATTTCGTATTCTAAATAATAAAATAATATTTAAAAGACACTTCCACGTCTGTTTTCGTAGCTATTCCATTTTGACATGGTCCATATCGGGCCTTGAATTTTCATTGTACTCGATTTTCTGATGATTATACATTTATTTTGCGACATTATTTTCAGAGCTGTAATGTTATGAAGTGAGTTAATAACGTTGTACCATACCAATTACCAATGAAAAGCGATTCAAATTTTATGACATGAAAAATTTCAATCAGCGATATAATATGAAGCTGACGTAGAAGAAATATAGAGAAAGCTTTTATTTTACTTGGTAAATTATTTCGATTATCTTAAGAAAGTTAATAAAAGCAATACGAAGATTTCTTTCTTCGAAATCTAAATCTCTTGAAGTGTGATTGTGAGCTTTGCAATCTTTGGTATGATCAGACAAATCGTATACTCGTTTGTCGCTCTATAACAGACAAAATACATCACTATTGATACTCTGTGTAATATATCTTGCGAAGTGTTTCTGAAAGCTGCAAACTGCTTCCAACTGGTGCAATAATTCGTCATTCGCTATAAATATGTCCTTTAAAAAACTCATATAAATATATTTGCATAACTAAACTGTAAGTAGTTTATGTTCTTTTGAGATTTCAACCGCTCCAATAAATTATTATTTAGAGAAACTGACGATAGAGTAGAACAACTATATGATATATTATATGCATTGTCTCACACTTTTCATTGTTAACAATTGAATGTTGTTATCATGGACTATTCTCTGAGGAATACTTATATCACCCGCGCTAGTTCCAATACACTTCAATATAAATACTCCGTGACTTCACTGGAAAAGGGTTCCTTATAGCCTTACTCTTATTACAGCTCTTTGTATTCTTATTTATTGGTCCATTAGCGGTACCGTTTACTGTTTCCTATTTATAAGAGATATATTGATATGCAGAATGCTTGCTTATTGATTATTTTCATTAACCAATATAGGTTAAAACTTAAAGACAATGTTAGTATAGGTTGAAGCACTTGGAATTTCTATGAATTGGTCCTTACTCCTTGGTATGAAAGGAGCCGTTGACATAACTCCATAAACATTAAGAATTAATATTTTGAGAACCTGTAACTTATAGCCACTTTTTATGTCAAAAATAATTATACTATCTAAAATTTCTGTCTGTTTATATTTCTAAGGCTAAAATTAGAATTTGTGTCATTGAAATTACTTCAACTGTTTTAATTGTTTTCTAGTGAAGCCCGACCTTTTATACAATTTTTTGTCAAAATAGACTATACAAACTGTAATTAAAAAGTAATATTTTTTTTGCAAAAAGATAATTGCAGTACATTATTTTTAGTCGTCCCGGGCTTATAAATAAATAGAGTTTTAATCAAAAAAGTTCACCCAACAACTTAGAATCCCAACAGAAAGGTCCTTAGAATGTTTTTTCCCGAGTTTGAGGCTTAATGGAAGTTAAATTGTGGAGGAAGAAGCCGGACAAATTGAATCCGATGAGACAATTGTGTTCCCCTGACAATACATTGATTACATAAACGTATAACAAAGCTATATTAGGATTAATAAAACAATGCTTACCAATATTGTTTAATATAGAAGTAGGAATATTAATAATAATAATCATATTATTTTATGATGTCATTTTCAATATAAATGGGAAAACCAATTGTAAATGAATGTTCTCTTAAAATTAACATTTTATTCTTGATAATAAATTAAATTTTTATTAGAATTACTATACTACGTAAATTTGAGGATTAGTTTCATTCAAAACAAGTGTCCAGTTTAGTTTGTGGATTAGTAATATTATCAATTTTTGTAATACTGATAAGTTAATACAATATACTATAAAGGATGAACGGTGTACGATAACAGATATTATATAAAACCGGATATTTTTGATAATAATAAAATTTAAAGCAAATTGTTTTGGACTTGTCAAAGGACTAGCCTCTTGGGTAATGAAATCTAAGATTTTCACGAGTTTTCAATTAAATTCCACTAATATTTTCGAAATTAATATTTCAAACTGTGTTTACTTTGCAGCAACATAAAATTTCTGTTAGTTGGTCTTGTTATTTGTCATCTACTAATATCGATTACTAAATTTTATAGTGAAATGCTAAAAAAAACGCATAGTATATGCGAAAATCTCAGTTTTATTTGAGTTTTTTCAGACAATCATACTTAAATAGTTTCATGTTTGTACAACATGTTTAATCTGCAGTTATCTCTTGTTTCTATAATCAGTATCTGTTATAACAGTGTCCTTACTTGGCAGCCTACACACGTTTTTGCTTGCAACTTAATTGCTCGGTGGCGCGACGCATTATTTAATGTCGCTTCCCGATGACGCTTAGTTAAAAAATATATCAATACATATTATAGATAAGATTATATAGATATACAGAAATGAGAAAAGACCAAGTTAAAAAATTTCCAATTAAATTTTGTTTGTCAGCACATCACCGAAACATTTTGTTGGTTTTTCAAAAGAATTTGACGATCAAAGACGGTGGATTACTGTTTTTCACTATCATCTTTGATTTGATGAAATTAAAAATATATAAATCATTTCATCACATATACTTGGTTACTAATTGATATCACGACTTATTATTCTTGTATAGTAATATTAGCAAATATTTTATCTGGTCCAACACGTCGCAGGAAGTGTGATAAATAAATATATATACCTATTATAATATTAAGCTTTATATATTATCTTAATCCATAATTTTTCTTCCGCCAACTGATA